CCCCCCCCCCCCCCATTCTTTGGGACATTTGGGAAAAATAACTTTTGAGGGCATTGTTCACATCAACAAGGCAGAGCAAACATCAGCATTCTGTGCTTCCCTCTAATAACTGGGATAGTCTCTCCATTTATAGCATCTAAGTTCATTGGTCTACTGACAGGGACAGAAATGAGGTCTCTTGCAGACAAAGGAATGCAATGGCCCTAACAGAAACAGAGAAGAAATTTGCTTCTTTTGATAAATGTTAGGGAGTGGTTCTGCATGTGAAGTGGCAAGAGGAAAAGGATCTTGCTTGATTTCTCCTGGAGGACTTTAAGAATGACCTTATTAAAATATTATACTTTTTATATTGCAAGAAAAGTCCAGCTACATTCTTTGCATTGTAACTTTATAGGGAAGTTTGTAATAGCTCTGTTTATGGCAGAGACAACTTGTTCAAATACTTTTTTTTTTTTGTTTTACACTGTGGGTTTGAACTGCTTCATTTCTGCAGCAACTGTTTATATCTACCCCATCATATAACTTACCGAGAGCCTTTAATGTGCTTATGAATGTATTCTGCATGAGCTTGTGGAACCAAAGGGTCTTTCTCACCATGAATTATAAATGTGGGACATTTAATATCTGGCAGCAACTGTTGGCAGATATTACCTAAGGAGAAAATAAATGAAGATCACACTTTGTTTTAAAATAGTATGAAAGGCTGAAACTGCTTCTGTAAAGGACTATGAACTCCACTGAGTTCTAGCTATTGCTCCTCTTTGTGGGTAGCATGCAGTGAATTTATAAACTATGTAATCAGGGCTATAATTAATGTTTCTTTCTATAAAATGTTACTTCACTGGAATTTGTTTCATTAATAGATGCTAGCACAAATGGTTAGAGAAAATGAAGCATTACTCTCTCGCATTCCCCGTAGGCTCTCTCTGACTGTTCAAAGCAAATACATGCATCTCTAACCATTTAACACAAGTTCTACTACAACTATTCAAAGGTTATTCTACCTGCCCATTCACCTTACAGAACCTCAGTTTTATGCCTTCTTTAATCTCACTGGAAGTAACTTCAATTCTTTTTCTTAAAGACTTATATTTTCCTCCCTTTCTTTTTTCTTCATTCTTTAGTAATCTAGTTTCCAAAGTGCCTCACTTTCCATGCTCTCATAGGAGAATCTTTGGGCAAAACAGACTCAATGAGTTTTTTATTTTCCATTTATCTTTGAGTTAACTTTGTCCTATTTGTAATTGTCTCCTTGCAGCTACCAAGAGTTTACAGTCAAAGCTCACACATGCACACTTCCCTTGGCTCTAAAGTCATATACTGTTTCACAGTTTTCCCAAGTGTTTGATTATTTATATAGTCTTGAAGTTCTGTTGGTTAAATACTTTGATTTAGAACGTTTCACCCACAGTTCTAAAACACCTGCACAAATGTTGACTATATTTCGGAACTGGTAACAAATACGTTTAGGTTATTTACCCAAGGACAGAGTTGGCAGTCAAACTACTATTTCCTAGTTTCCAGTCCTAAAACTGTTTTGTACTATAACCACTAGATTATATTTACTCCAAAAACACAGAAAAGCAAGAAGAATCTTGAACTTTGCAGCTTTATGCAACTTAGTTTCATTAAGTGTAGCACCTTCATCTCTTATGGCACTTCACACTGAAAGCTCTTCCCTTTAGGGCAAATAGTCTGTTTCTCGTAAGGAACTCAAGTTGAGTTTTTGACCAGTAAAGGCTTTGCTGTCCTCCTTTTATCTCTGATGGGTTTTACTAACCCCTTTTCTTGTATTTGCCACATCTTCATCTTTTGTGCAGCATGTCTGCTTAATCAGAATCCCTCCTGTTCGGTCTGTACAGATGCAATGATTTAATAATGTTGTTTTGTGGTGGAACAAGAGGAAAGACTCATCAGCTAACGCTTCTCATAAATGTGTTTTCCTCCTGTACCTTGCTGGTTCTGTCAACCATCTACTAACTGCTTTATTTATGAGTGTGAGTCAGACGCAGCTTTTAATGCCATATGCAGAGTCCTCCTTTTACTGGCTGCTAGGACTACTGTTAGTTTTTTCATCCAGAGCTGGCTGCTACTACAATTGCTTCAGTTTACCATTGTAAAAGTCTTACCATCTGATTTTTCAGCAAAGCGAGATATTCCATCTACCCAAGCCTCACAGGTTTTTGCAAAGTACTTATGCCCATACATCTCTTCCAGTGGTTTCTTGACCTTTTCACTCCATTTTGAAACGTCTCGGATGCCTACATAAAATAACATTGAAATATGTTAAGTCCTTCCCAGCAAGAAGGTATAACCCAATACTGATATGAGTAAATTTTCAAACTAGATTGCAGATGTGCATTTCAAACTAGAAACTGTACTGAACGGTTTTGAATAGTTCATAGTATGGAAAGGGTATAAAAAAGGTAGTTTTACAATCTCTGCTGGAGTGCTTCTGAGTCAAGAAGACCCTCTTGATATTACAAGGTTACAATGAACAACAGGAAAAAAAAACCCCAACCCTACCCCATAATCAAAGGACTTGGTCCTAGAACTGCTGGTGTTTCTTTTTGGAGGGCTTGCAGGAGAGGAGTTTAAGGAGGTACTTTTGTATAAAATGTTTTATAACAGTGTGCCAGAGCTGGTGATTCCTTTTTGTATCCTTCAGCCTTTTCCTTTGGCTCATTGATGGAAGTTCTTCCATGGCTTCTACCAGTATTCAGAGGAAGGAAGCTCTTACTAACACATTCCAGCAGGCTGACATCATGGTACATTTGCCATAGTCTTACAGGAAAACAAGCAACACTATTTAGTAGAGTCCTGTGACTCGTGGCAGGCTGGCTAAAGCTGTACAAATAATCTGACATTCTAGGTATTTATTTATCAGATTTACCAAATTTTTCCCCTCAGAAGTTCAGTACTGCTCACAGACCAGATACCCACAAGGGTGACTTCCACTGAACTATATTTCAGCTGTACAACTCTGTATAGATAAAGCCCAAAATAATATTGGCATAGCAGCGAACCCAAAAGAGACCTGAAAAGTACTGGATTGTCGAACAGCAATATATGCCACTAGCCAAGCTTTTAATTGGTTTCAAATGGGAATTAAGGGAAGAAAGGAGTGACGTGTTAATTAACAAACAGAACCTGCTCAGCCAAAAGAGCAAGGTAGCAGTGATTGAAAGTGTTTTATAACAGCATCTGATCGGAAATGAGTTTGCTCACCCAAGGCAATCTGTTACTGAACAGCTGTTTCTCTTCTAGAAACTGCAGTTTTATCTTTGTGGCTAGCCTTAATTTAAAAAGGGGAGGGGTGGGGGAAGCCAATATTGAAAAGACACAGGTACCAAATAAATGCTCTTCTCTCCTGCCATGCAGCTGAGGTGCACTGATGGGCCAGCTGTAGAAGTTTTGTGCTGCTACTGTCTGAGCACCATTGCACAGAGATGTTGAAAGCACCAGTCCATGACGAGGCCAAAGGTCAGCACTAATGTAGATGCTCCATGTAAAGTAAGGCTTCTTTCTTTTTTTTGTTTTCTGTTTTTTGTTTTCTTGTTTGGTGGGGGTGGGGGTGCGTGTTTGTGATTGTTTGTTTTGTTTTTTTACATTTTAGCCTAAATTACATTGGCTAATACTGATATGCATTTCATAATTATATAAACAAAAAAGTCCTAAATATAAAAGCATCTAGAAAAATAAAGTAGCACTTTTACAAAACTAAAAATAGTCTTTGTTACTGAACTAAAAAATATACTACTACCAGTGAAAGTGCTTTAGTTTAGGTAAGTACACATGTACAATATCTATTTACACTTGTAATTTGCTGAAGCCAGCCAGCCAGATTTCACAACTGGTCATCACTTCTGTGATCATAGATTTTGCAACTGTAATCACTAAAATTAAACCATCCTGAATGATATTTGTTGAGAGCCTGCATGGTTAACTCTTTTAATTTCTAATTTGAAAAGGAAATATGGTCCCTTTCTGAGTTCACTAGCAGTTTTTGCTGTTTTCCTTCAGAGTGACAGGTGATCAGATTCTATTTCATGTAAGTGGAACAAGCGTCAGAAATCCCATGGGGTTTTTTACTTTGGAAAGGTTTTGTAACCACAATAATTAACTTTAAAGGAATGCAAATTAGAAAGGCATCCTGGGACACTTATTTGAATGATTCATTTGCTTCCTGAACTCAAATGGTAAGTTATGAGCTTGTTTACTTACTGCTCATGTGTTGTATAGGCCCTAGAGGCAAAAGCTGTTACGTGCTAGCCCAGTGATTTTCTGTGGACCTTGTCTGAAGGTTGTGCAAGACGTGAGAAAAGAAATTAGGCCTAGGGTCAGTAATATTATTTGGAATTGTTTCAGGCATTTGTTACAGCAACAAAAATTTGACTTGCTGAAAACTACTGATAAGTTATTATGCTTTTTCAGTGGTGTAAGTTAGGAAAGACTTGTTACAAATTCTATTGTATTACCACTAGAGTAATTGTTAGGGATTTTCTCACTATGACTTTAATCAATCCCTATACTTAGCAACTTAGTGAATTTTGTGTCCCAATGCTTTAGTTTTGTTGTGTCCTCAATTCTGTAGCCACTTAGTTATTACATGACTAAGATTCTTAGGTCAAGAAGAAATGAAAATAATTTATTTCGGGTACAATATTCAGTTTGTACATACCGTTATAAATTCTCACATCCTCTTGAGTGACACTGGCATTTGCTCCCCAGACAACCAGCTTGTGGATAAGAGTTGGATACTTTGCAGCTGCAATGAGTGCTGTAATTCCACCATCACTCCACCCCAGCAAAGAGAACTTCTTAAATTTCAATGCCTTGATTTGTATAAGAAAATTATATGCAAATCATCAGCTGGTTTTACAAGCAACTATCAAATATTTCTTGAAAATTAACTGTACAGATTTAGACACAACACTACATAGCTGAGCTATAGTTAGCTTTCATCATCAGAACAAACATTTTTCCTGATACATAAAAATACTTAAGAAAAGGTCAAATATTTAGAAAACAAGAAATTATACCTGCCCTTCCAATTTTCTACAACCAGTTACAGAAACAGGCAGTAGCCATATTAGATTCTTGCTGCATTTTAAAAAGGTCTCTTGAAATGAAAATTATCTATTTACAACCAAGAGTAAAGACATTTTCAGAGAGCCTGATGGTATCAAGAACCTGGATTCTCTTCATCATGCCTACTTAATCTTTACTAGATAGTTTTTACTATCACAGTGTGGGATGGCAGGTAATCCAAGAGAAGATGAATTTAAGAAAAGGTAAGTTTAAGATTGAAAAATGGGGGGGTGAAAAAAATCTGTTCTGTAACAACAACAAGAAAAAAAAGCTTAAAGTATTTGCTACAGGATTGTATCAAATTTTAGTCCCCAATTTACATTTTCTGAAGCCTTTAAGTGTATGTTTTAGCAGTTACTTCATGCTGAATTGCAATTCAAAACATTAATAATGAAATTCCTCCTCCTCAGAAAGGAAGGCTTAGGGCAAAAAATATGACAAGCAAGACCTTGATTCATTCTGACTTGTACAATGCTTTCCACTAGAATTTGAAACTCTTGTTTCCTCATATACCACAATCTGTGGTAGGGAGGACCAGCAGAGGATTTTGTGTGTGTGATGTTCAGTGGGCTAAGAGTGGGGAAAGTAAAGGCACTTGGGAGCAAATGCATCTGAAGGTTGTACAGGGATGACACCCAATCGTTAAGCAGTGTTTGCAGTTTCGTATATAGAAGCCTCAGTTTGTGAACTCTTTTGCAAACAAACGCAAAAGTTTCAAAGGAGGTGTGTGTTTTGTTTGCTTGGGTGCAGGTGTCAGAAATTACAGCCTTTTAGATATGATTAAGGAAGATACACTTTCAGAGGAAAAAAAGCAAGTTAGTTGGATGAGTTGTGTTGGTGCTTGGTGTTTTGCTGTCATAAGCCCAGGCTTGGTTTGGTTTTGGATTTTTGTTTTGGACAGAAGAAAACAAAAATGCCAGCAATGAGAGAACATCTACAGAGGGAGAAAAAGCAATTTCTAGTCTGCTTGTAAACTTAACACTCAAATGAGGCATAACGTTATCAGTCAACTTGACACTTAGCAAACTTGTATCACTACAAGGCTTTTCAGGTTTTGTCTTCTTCCTTGGTATTAGGTTTACTATAGTGTCGTTCAATATTAGGTTTCACTCTGCTAAGCTATAATTACTAAACAGAAAAGAAATACGGTAGGGGGAAGAAAAGGATATGTAATGTAAAAGCATGAGCAAGAAAATAGAAACTTGATTTTTAGCAGCTGAAAAAGTAGATTTTGTGACCTGCTTTCACTACCGTGCTGCTGAAGGGTTACTGATGTCTAGGCAAGTTTCAGGAGTTGGCAGCAGTGCTTGTAAAGCTGAACTTTTTGCTGTTGCTGCTGCTGTTCCCCCACCACCAACAGCAAATTATGGATCTCGGGGCTGGCTGATGGGTGGAATAGCTGACTAAAATTTTTGTTCTTCATGCCAGGGTTTTTGCCAGTGCTTCAGCTGAGATATATTTGCCTCCAGTATTTCTCTTGTTTACTAGGCATTATCTTGATGCATTCTTTGGGTTGTCTCAGGATGCCTTTCCAGCAGGAGGAATTTAATTTATCCTTTGCAGCTTTCCAAAAAACAATGTGTCAGATATGGTATGCATGTTTGCTTGCTTTAATCTTGAGCTACTTACAGTACAGGCCTCTACCTAACACTGGCAATAACCTGACAGCTGGTTGTACAGCTCAATCTGTGGGTGATTTTGTGCTGGCTTTCCCCTGTAAGTGAGCAAAACCTCTTTTGAAATCACATCCTCCATTCAGACCTATGTGAAATGCAATCAAATGATCACGTATGCTGTGACAGAAATAACTTACAACAGTGAGTTGCAATACAACTGCGCTCTTCTGCACTGTGAGCTTTCATTAGATCACAGGGAGTATATCATAAGTAAGGGTTGCAGTTGGTCTACAAAAACTTGGAGAAGTCCAAGCTCATCCTTTTATTAGGACGGTAGCTCTGAAGAGTAAGAACCTCTTAAATATCAACAGTAATTATTTCCATAATGATTGTTTTAATGGTATTTGCCTTTGCTAGCATTAGACATTTGGAGTGGAGCAAAGTGGACTTATTTGCATTATACTCCCTTTATTTCAAGCAAATTCCTTCGCAGAATGTATACATTGATACAGAGCAGTGCCATATGCATCAAAGTGCTAAATACTCTGAAGAATTTCAGCTTTCTGTTACTTCACAGAAACCTTGCAGTACTCACAGCTCTAGCAGAGGCACCAGAATCTGAAAGAGCCTACAATAAAGATTCTGAAGGCTCACCTGTACGGATGGGGTTTTTTTGCCAGGTGTAGGCCAGATGATGTATCTAAACCATACATTGTTATAAGCCCTCTGCAGAAGTTCTGACTTTGTTTTATTCTCTAAATCCTAGTTGAGATGATTCCTTGAGATTTGTGCTATCCTTCATGTTATTCTAAAATAGAAGCAAGTTACCCATGCTTGGGAAGATTCTAGTAATTTGTTATTATATGCTTATATCAATAAACATCTTCAGAAAAGCAGGATGTATGTCACATTTGTTTAGGCAGCTTTAGAGATTTGTAGGCTGTTGTCCTGTTTAACTGGAAGCTACATGCTTACATTCTCTTTGGGCACAGCTCTCTACTTTGCTTTTATTAGTATTTGAACAGAGGCAAGAAAGGGGGTTACAACCATTTAGACTGAAAGTTTGTCACCTACCCAGGGCAGCATCATTACTTTCTTTGTTACTGTAGCAGAAAGAACTGGTGCATTACAGTGCAGAGAGATTGCATTTATGGTTAGAGGGCAAAACTGTGTCTTAATCCCGAGTCTGCTGTCAGACTTACTTTGTTTCACTACATGGAATACTCCAGGAAGGCTGCATTTCCAGTTTCAGATGGGTTTCTTCAAGGTTACTGCTTATTACAGAAACACAGTTGGACTGTCTGAATCTTGTCTCATATTTCTGGAATTTTAATGCTCTGCCAACTTTCTTAACTCCAAAAAGACTGTATAGCTCAATGTAACAAAGCCAAAATACTAGTTAAAACTAAACCAGAAACTAGTGTTGGCACTTACAGGACAGAATAAAAGAGGACCAGAGAAACACACAGATTTGAAATAAAAACTTCTGCAAGATAGAGAAGTAATAATAGCTTTAGGTCATATCCTTTCTAATAGCAATAGCTGTATTAGTTACTAAGGTGTGGTATGGTCACAGGAACCCTCCTATGTCCCACAGAAGTTATTTTGGTAACATGCTGTAAAATGCAAAGTGTCAAGTTAATGTTTAGAATAAAATGTTTCTCAAAATGGGCTGCTCAAGGCAAAATGCCAAGATTCTATCAGCTAGAAATTTTTCTAAGAGCCTTTCATTACTGTAATCCCTTCAGTTAAACCACTTAGCACAGACTTTGTTTTTTATACACACTTTACCTAAACTTACATGGTTCTTGGCTGCAAGCTTCTTAGGACAGGTCTTGGGATAAAAACATATTGCTTTATAATTAAATCCCAAATGTATATTGCAGAAGAGTTGGAAGTAGAAAATATTTTCCAGAATAGTGTGCATCAGTTTTAAGCCTTCATTTTTGTGCTTTTCTGCATAACTTTGTCTGCTAGAAACAACCAGCTTAACAGTACTCTTCTCCTCTAAATTTAAGGAAAACAGCTTTTAAAAACAAATAAATATACATACGTAAAATAATAAAATCAGAGAATATATTTACCTGCATAAGATCCACAGCATCTTTTGCATCCCTCTCAAAGAAATCTGGAGGAAAGTCTCGAGATGGAGGAATGGACTGTCCATATCCCCGAGGATCCCAAGCAACAATTGTGAAAAGTTGCTTATTCATGGATTTAAGCTGTGGTCCAAAATCGGTTTGACCACTCCCTGAAACATTATCATTTTCCATTATAGTAACCACTACAATACATACATAGTAGACATACTCTAAATGGAAACCTGCGGAAACTTGTATCTTAATTCTAAGAAAGAGATTATCTATCAGCTGAAGTACACTGTATCTGTAATTGTAACCACTGCAAATCTCAGACAGAGGAAGTACCATAATAAAAGTCTTTAGAACTATCTGTGGTATGTACAGAGCAAATCATTTCAGGTAGGTATGTAAGCTTATAAAAAAATATGCTCTACAGAGATGCTTTAATACAGAATCTTAAACTGAGTTACCTGGAAAGCGATTTAACAGATTTAAAGCACTAGCACAATGGTCATCGCTGTTTATCTGGACAGCATAGGTGAAACTGAAAAGGGAGGAATAAAATGACTCTAGCAACAAATTTGTAAGTGAAAAAACACTCTGCGAGACAGTTGTTTTTATTCCATAGACAGTCCTATGAGAATACTGGTGCTTAAAGCTGAGCTTTAAACAATTTGTTGCCTGAGGAGACAGTGTTGACACAAAAGCATAAAACTAACTTTTGATTTTCTAATATGTATGTTACCAAAATAAGCCAAATACAGCCAGTTTTCTGATGCAGAACAGTTCCTTTTATTGATGGCTCTGACCTTGAAAGGACTGAAAAATAACATACTCCAGTCTATTGCACTAAGCTATCTTTGAATGATAGCTTAGCATGAAGAATGTAAGACTGCAATTTCTTATTCATGTTATGGACATGTGGGAACAGTATCACATGCCGCTTGACCAGAACCTGTTCAGATCTAATACATTCAAATGATATAAATAAATATCACATTGGTTATCCATTGTTACATTAAAAAGACCTTTTAAGGGCATTTAAGGTTTGTTTGTTTACTTGGAGAAATGTCCTCAGATGCCTCCTCCTCACCATCATTTGGTCTAAATGATAAGAAAAGGCTGTGTATAGCATGCTGTGTGAGCTGACTACAGACTGGCATGACCTCCTGCAACACCAATTAATAGCAAGTCAAAACCCAAAATATCAGGTTGTTTGAAAAATATGTGTAACTTAAAAATACAAGGTTGAGAGCATATCAGAATGGTGTGTTTTCTAAGGTTTTTTTCTATCTAGAAATAGAAACATCACTTTCGGTTTAATTTAGCTTACAAATAGTCTAGCAATTAATTAGTTCTGTTGACCTAAAAGCACTTATTTTGTTGCCAACATATTTATTAGTCTTTTAATACTGTGAATAGAAGAAAATAATATTGAAAACTCAGTACAAAGGGGGAAGTATGTGACAATCAGAATGTAAAGCTCACCCTCAATCCACAAGACCATGAAACCATAAACTTAATAATGGTAAAGATAGTAAGCCTAATTATTACTGTTTGTAATAATGTTAACTGCATAATAGCAATGTGCACCTAATAACATTACTCACAACTGAAGAAATACACTATTAGTATTTAAAGAGTTCGCATTGGGAACAGAATTACCAGTTTAAAAAGCTGTTTAAAATGAAGAGGTTAAAACATATCACTATTAATGCACCCCAGCATTAACTTCCTTCCACCCTGTGCTTCAGAAATCTTTGAAAGAAACAACCACTTCATGAAGACTTGAAAATGTTGCTGCCAAGAACAACAAATGTTTCTTGCTCTTCATTTCTTGACATTCTATCATCTTGATCCAGAAATTCAGTTAAGCATAAACTCAAGTCTGAGCACAATCATGGTCCTATTGACAGCCTGCCATGAACAGTTAGTAAGTCTGATTGGTTCTTTAGAACTGCAAGAACCCAGAAAAAAAAGCACCTCTGTTAGTTTTAAAAGGTTGTTATCAGAAGCAGTGGTCTCTATGGACAGATACCACTTAGGTAGCAGAACCTGCTATCCATCTCAAAAAGCCATCGAGAATCTTAATGACGTTGCCCTGAATAACTAAAACATGAAAATACATCTTTAAGCAAAAGTCTATCTCAACTGTGCCTCTTTCACTATGATAAAAAACTGCAAGTGCTGTATTATGTCTATTAACTGAATCGGAATGCACCTAGTTTCTAAAAAGGAATGCATAATTCAGTCTGTGTAACAAATAAAGCTGACCTGATTTCCCTCGGGCACTTCTCAAAATTTTGCACCTTGTGTAGGTATTTGCCACCTGTGCTGGACACCCCCTTTGCACAGTTAAATCCAAAAGTACAAGTGACGGCTGCACAAAGCAAAACATTGTATAAAAGGTGCCTGGTGAGATAAATGAAATCTTTAAAAACTGTAAACTGACTGCAATAGCTCTCCAGTCCTACCTATTTTCCTACCTATTGAATGTGTAGCAATTTTTTTTAATGACAATGCTCCATAATCGGGCGTTGAACGTATTACAAAATAGTTTTGTGCATTCTAGTTTGAGACCGGATGGCGAAGGAGGTGGTTGCTCTACAAAGATAAGACAAAATCTCCAGACCTAGCATTCCGGGAAGCAGAAGAACTGCATGGCTTCCTTCTCCTGTCTGCTGATAATGCAGCTGGACTCCATTCACTTGGACTTTGGCAGATGTTATTGAAGTACTAGGGACAGGGGAAAGGGAAAGAAATAGGAAAACATAATGAGTTAATTCTCATTACTACATGGTCCTTCAAGTAATACAGAATAATTACTTTTTCTGGGTATTAACAACAATACAGTGAGATTTAAACAGGCCACCTACCTTTCATGGGTGCCCAAAAGATTAGATAAGTTTTCAGGACAGAGAAGTACTCAGTTGTGACCACTGTGTAGCATTTATACTTGGGTTTCAAAAATGTAGTTAAATTACTTAAAGGGGAGGAAAAAAATCTTGACTGTGCAACAAGGGGAATATAAAAACAGCTTTACGCAGCCACAGAAACCTATTGAAAGAAACATACTAGGGGAGAAACCTCATTCTGTCACAGCATGGAGAAGAGATTCAGAGCAGCCCTGTGGAGAAGGACTTGGGGGAGTTGGTTGATGAGAAGCTTGACATGAGCCGGCTTCAGTGTGCGCTTGCAGCCCAGAAACC